GACTCAGCAGAGCGGCTCTGTGCTGAAGCCTTCGGGGGACACCTGGATCCTTTGGGAGGTGTCGCTTCTTAGTCTTGGGGTTTGGATCCTAGAGAGGAGCAAGTTTTGGATGCCTGTGGCTGTAAGGGCTGGGGAACCTCCTTCAGGAGATGTTGAGGTCTTTGGGTGAAATGGAGGGAGGCTCTGGCCCGAGGGTGAATTGGAATCCATCGAGTCCATATTTGGGTGAAGACTCCATATGCTTTAGGAACCGAAGGGATTTAGGAACAAGCAGCCTGGGGGGTTATATGCCAGAGCCAAAGGGGTTTTGGAAACAAAGGGACATAATGGACTGAGGCTCAAGAAGCCGAAGATTGTTGCCCTTCCAAGGGAATTGGGGTCCTCATCCCAGGACTTGCATCCAAGTGGGTGCTCAGCACAAGGGTCAATGAAATCCTACAGCCTGTAGGATTTAGCCCAATGGGTTTGTGTGTAGCTACCTGAGGTGACTGTGAAAACTTTGGTCTGAGAGGTTTAGGACCTGCCAGACATATCCAAGTTTGAGGAATCCCAGTGTCTTTTGGTCAAAGGGATTTGTGACCCAGTGTGTTTAGACACCAGGATCCCAACTGGATTGGGCTCCTCTACGCTCCACTGTAGCTGGCTAGAGGTCATATGGGCAGAATGTTTTAGGACCCTGATGTCCAGAAGGCCAAGCACCTGGCTCTTGAGAGGGCCTTGGGCTCTTCAGTCTGAGAGCCTTTGGTCCAAGGATCTTAGGAACAAGAACCTAAAGGGATTCCATTCCTCCAGGCCAAGGATTTCACTACAGGGTACTGTACTGGGATCCTCAGAGGTTTGGGCAGCATCTACCCTGAGTCATTTAGAAACATCAGACCAATGGAATGGAAGGAAGAGCCAGGAAGGTGAAGACCCTGAGCCCTGGGGATTTAGGCACAGCATACCTAGGAGTGATGTCCAAGGACTCGGAGCAGAGCAGTAGGGCCGTCCCATCCCGTGGGCTCACAGCCAGCCCTGTGGGTTGGGACGTTGCGGTGCCTGTGTGGCCTTGGGGCTGTGCCAAGCCCTTGGTGGCAGCAGCGTCCAGCCCCACCCCAAAGGCCCGCACCACCTCCCGGCCGCACTGTTATCTCCAGCCCTCACACGCTGGGCTGGCGGGCTGTGCCTCGCTCCAGGGGACAAGGAGGAGTCCCCTCTCCTCCTCCCGGCTCTCACAGCCCTCCTACCTCCCCCCAAGTCCTCCACCCACCCACCACAACCCTCCAGACCCGCGGCAAGATGAAATAAACACTCAGAGAAGCAGCTTGTATAAATGGGAACTCTTCCATATGGAAAAAGTTCCTTTTTTTTTTTCTTTTTTTTTTTTTTTTCCCTTTCATTCTTTGCCTTGTTTTAGCTGTTAGGAATAGATCAACTTATAAAATTTGCAAACAGAAAGAGGTAAAAATAAAGGCAAAAGCTATTTACAGAAACCAATGGGGAGAGCCTGGGTGAAGCCCCCAGGCTGCTCACTTCTTCTTGGGCGATTTCCGGGCACCAGACTTGGCTCTGGGTTTCGACCGCTTCACCTTCTTGGTCTTGGAGGTCTTCCGCGACTTGGCCTTAACAGTCTTTGGCTTCCTGGCCTTCTTGGGGCTCCGCGACTTCTTCCTGGCCTTCCTGACGGTGGCTTTGGGCTTCTTGGCCGGTGACCTGGCCTTCCTGGGCCTCGCCGCCTTCTTGGGAGACGTGGACCTCCTGCCGGCCTTCTTCTTCTTCCTTGGGGATCTCTTGGCCTTGTCGCTCTTGGCCAAGCGGAAGGAACCGGAGGCTCCGACCCCTTTGGTCTGCTTGAGGACGCCGGCAGCCAGGAGACGCCGGATGGAGAGCTTGATCTGCAGGTCGGCGTTCTGGCCCACCTTGTAGTGGCTCTTCACGTACTTCTGGATGGACTGCCGCGAGGAGCCGCCGCGGCTCTTTTCCGCACGGATGGCCGCTGCGATCATCTCCGAGTAGGTGGGGTGCGACGCCGAGCGCCGCGACGCCTTCGCCCGCTTGGGTTTGGCTGGGGCTGGGGATAGGACCAGGCTTTCCGTCATGGCCGGCGCTTCACCCCACGGTAGGGTTAGGGAGCTCAGAAAGGAGCCTGCTGGCAACAACGGATGTGGGGCTGCTCCTGCTGCCGCCGCCGCTGCGTCTGTGGGCGCGCATGCCAGCACCGCACATTTAAGGGTGCGGCACGGACCGTGGGGAGGACTGCTGTCCCCGTGTCCCCTCTGCCCCGCCCCGCAGCGACATGACTGGGGCAGGCAGGGAGGGACAAGGTTGGGACAAGAAGGGATGTGATGGGGAAAGAGGTGGACGCTGGGGTTGGACGTGAAGGGATGGAGAGGGATATGGTGGGGATAGGGTGAGACACCGTGGGAATAGGATGGGCATTGAGGCTGGACACCGGGGGATAAGGTGGGACATGATGGGGATGGGGTGGACACCAGAGGACAAGGAAGGACATGGTGGGGACAAGGGTGACACCGAGTTGGACAACAGGGGACAGGGAGAGATGTGATGGGGAAAAGAAGGGGTACTTTGGACTAACACTGGATAGGACAAGAATGGGTGCTGGGAGGGGGATCAGGAGACAAGGAGGTAACGTGCAGGGCAAGGAGGATCCTGTGTTGGGGACAGGGAATGAGCAGGGTGACATGGCAATGACACTTAGAAGGGTGTTAGGAACACTGAATGGAGACAAGGAGGATATGGGGAGGAACGTAGGGGATAATGAGGTAGGGGGGACATTGGAGAGACGCTGGGGGTCTCCCTTCTGTCTGCCCTGAGCAGCTATGGTGTCACCCTGGGGTTTGTGGTGGCTCCTGGCTACCAGGGTGGTGATCTATGGGAGGGTTGGTGGTGCACTTTTTTCCTGCAAAAAGGCTCAAAAATTGGTTTGGCAGCTGTACCCCAGGGTCCAATAAGTCTGTCTCCACTCCTGCTCTGTCCCATTTGCTCCCCACCAGAGGCTTTGGGACATGAGCTCTCATCAGCCACTACCTCCCAGCTGAGTAAGCACCCAGCTGTCCCCGGGAGATTAAACATGGCTGTGACCATGGTCTTCCTGAAGCATTTACATCACATTTTCCTCCTTCTGTCTTAAAATACATTCGTGCCCCCCCATGGATATGTGGCACTGGGGGTGAAACAAGGCAGTTTCTAATATCTCAGCACATCCAATATGCGCTGAGCTCCCCTCTGCAACACCAGTATCACCAGATGCTTCTGTGCCACCACGGAGACATGAGGAAAGGAGAAGGCGATGCTGTAGGGAACCATGGCCTCTGTGTGACACCTTGACCGGGTGATAGGCCCTGAGTTTGCTGCGCGGGAAATGCAGTGCCGTTGCTGGCTGTCTGCACGTAGGCACTCGGGTGCAGGCAGATAAGATTCCATCTGGCTTTACTTGCATCCAAGCTTTTAACTGCCAGCAGCGCGCGGGCTCACCCGCCAAAGAGAGAGAACAGAAGGGGGGGGCAAAGAGCATCTCTAAACCTTGCTCCTTTCCCACCAGCTCACTGCAGAGCCTCCAAAAAATAGTGGCAATGTTTATCAGGGCAGTGCAGTACCCAGGCTTCACCTTGCTAGAGACAGCTGAAAATTGAGTGTCTTATCTGAGCCCATCACCTGGGCACCTCCTGCAGCCTCTCCCCGGTACTTGGGGGACCCTTTCATCGAGACCCGGTCTCTAATTTTTAGCAAGTTAAAATATGGTCTCCCATGCGTGAATCCTGACCAATGTCCTTGTGTCACCCTTGGTGGTGCAGAACATCCCTGTCACTTTGCACTGGTGTGTCCCTAACATGCAAGAGGGGCTCTGGGGCTGGAGGTGTGATGGAAATGCTGCAGACATTGATGCTGCGTGTTTCTGGCATTAAACAAACTTTGGAGATTGGGAAACATCTCTCTGCAACAAACATCAGAGGAAGGAGCCTGGCACAGCAATCTCCCACTAATCTCAATGACTTCATCCTCCTCCTCCTCCTTTCTCCCCACACATCATCCCAACAAAACCTTTAGCATTCCTGCACGTCCACCTCAGGACTTCATCTTAAATGGTCAAAGCACACACGCTGTGGATGTGCTGCAGCCCATCACGGAAAGCCAGCAAATTCATCACGGCAAAATTTCATTTAACCCGCTTTTACTTCCCGAAGAGACTCAAAATAGGCAGACATTTTGGCTGCCTCCTCTCACACCCATGGCCCTGGGGCCAGGCGATATCGCTATGGGGCAGCCGTGGGGCCAGTATCACCCTGTCACATGCGGCACTGGGGAAGGGGCTGATTGGCAGCAGCCACACGTTCCAGCATGCTGGTGCAAAGCCTTTATCGGGAACAGCAGTCCCCAGTTAGGAAAAAACAAAAAACACCAAACCCAAACAAATATAGGGAGCACCTGAGGAAGGGACTGGCTGGCTACTCCCAGGGGCTGCAACCCCCAGTGACAGATGCAACCCCACAACCTTAATTAAGCCACTGGTGATGCAAAAGTGTGTTTTCTTTTTCCCCTAAAAAACATGTGTACAACACCATGCCCTAAACTTCACTTTTTCCCCTGCAATCATGGTCCCCACAACTTCCCAACTTCACAGCTGCCACCCCCAGCCTGGGAGCTTTGCTGTTCCATCTCTGGCTGATGGCACGCCCAGGGCTCATCCCATCTTCAAGGTGGTGGTTCAGGCTTGATGCAAGCCTGCAACTGGATTTACTGGATTTTGTGCTGGCTTCGCCCAGGGAAAGGAGCCAGAAGCCTTTTCTGAGTGCTTTCCTTTAAACTCCCTTTAGAAAGAGCAAAGTGTGTTTTTTACCCCAAAACAGGAGGGGGGAAAACGTTTGTCGTTCCTTTCATCTTCCCCGAGATCTCCCCCCTTGCTCCTGGTGGTCACAAAAGAGCTGCTGGCTTCACAGTGAGGCAGGAAGCTGCAGAAATTGCTCTCAGCATCGTAGCAAGACTTGCCCTCAGCAAACACATTTTTCTCAGCAAAAGGGGAAGATTTTATTAAGTTAAGAGTTGAAGGGTGTGGCAGAACAGCAGCTCCTCTGCCACTAACATGTCGGGCTCTCCCCAGCCCGAGGGAGGGTGAGTGGGGAGGCTCCTGGAGCTGAGGCTGTGCCAAGGCAGAGCTGAAGGACAGTCACTGAGAGCTCCATCGTGCAGCCTCGTGCCAAGGTCTCCTCTTTCAAAGTTGCAGGTGGGTGCAGCTGCGGCAGGCGGCCTCCTCCTATGGCTTGGGTGTCTCCTCCACTGGGTGCTGGGGCAGTGATGTTGTTACGTGTCCCCATACATCCCCATGGGGCCCCAGAGACAGGTGGAAGAGAGGGAACGGGAGTGCCAAAGGCAGATACGTGGCTGGGAGCAGGGGGGGCTGAGGAAGTGGGGAGTATATTCTCTTTCTCTGGTTAGAAAATGCTGGTGACGTAGAAGCTTTCCCTCTCCTTTTCCTCTTTTTCTCAAGGGAAAACAAAATTCTTCTATAAAATACAATTTTCACGTATAAAATCCTGAAGAAGGTGCATGTAAGGAGCCATTCCAAATAACGTGCTCAGATACAAAGGCAAAAAGGTTTTGGAAAGGCTTCATCGAAAGCTTTGGGAGGGAAGTGAGGAGCTGGCTGAGGAGAGAGATGTCTCGCCAAGGATGAGATCCAACCTCCCTCTCTCCTTAAGTGAGGAACGGAGCAAATAAAAAACAAGAACAGATAAACAAATGAAGTAGACCTAGAAAGAGAAGGAAAAAAAAATAAAACAGGTTTGGAAAGATCGCACTCAGCACAGAAATGCTGTCCTTTCTGCCTCCATTCTAGGAGGTTCTGACATGCTTGGCATGCCTGCTCTGATCCCACACATCTCAAGACTGGTCAGTGCCCACCAGCAAGCGTTGGCAGAACAGTGTGACCCCAAGCCTGATGGCCACAGTGTTCAAGAAAGTAGAAGGTTTGCTCTGGACACCAGAACATGCGTGATGGCTTCACACTGCTCCATCCCTATGCTTGCCTATGCAAGTGCTTGGAGGAAGATGGCTGGGTCAAGCCATAGCCACACTGACCACCATATGGAGCAGGAAGAAGCTGCCTTGCCTCTGCCCAAAGTAAAGTGGATCTCAGTCCCCCAAGCCTGGAGGGAACATAAACAGCCCCTCAGTGCTCACCGTTAATTGCTGATGCTGTTGCACAGTGTTTCCTTCTCCTGCAGGGCTGCCATGGCCAGGCGCAGATGCTCCTTCAGCTGCTCAATCTCTCGCTCTGAGCGCACCTTAATATGATTCAGCTCTGCATAGACGTCCTGGTATTTCCCTGAGGCAAATCTCTTGTCCTGCCAGACAGGGAGAAGAGTTAGCAACTCTCAAGCTGGTATTCAAGTGTCAAGGTGAGGCCAGTGGGTGAGGGAGGACACAGCCCAAAGCCTGAACCTCAGCCCAAAGTGGGCAACGATTTCACAGAACCATACAACAACCCAGGTCTGAAGGGACCTTGAAAGATCAGCTGGTTCAATATTTAGTGGGATAAGGAAACCTAAGTGAGCTTATTGAGAACTTTTTCCAACTGCCTCTTGGAAACCTCCAGTGGTGGGGATACCACCATGTCCTTGAGGAGGTTGTTCCAATGAATCACTGTTCTCAATGTTAAAACAAAACAAACTATACGTCAAGATGAAACTTCTCTTGGTAGGGCTTACACCCACTGCTGCTTGTCTTCTCCATGGGGTTCCTCATGAAGACAGAGCTCCACCCTCCTTGTAGCCACACTTCAAGTAATGGAATACTGCAATGAGGCAGTGTCGCTCAGCAAGAAAGCAGGGACAAGGAGCACACATGACACAAGGGTTTGACCTGAGCATCCAAATGACCCTGTCTGAAACCTGCAGCCACTATGCAGCCTCCTAGTCCCTCTGCTTTGCTGTAAGAGAGAGATGCAATACCCAGCCCCAGCCAGCAGACCCAGGGAAGCACCAACCTTTTGCATCATCTGCAGCTCCTCCCGGAGGCACTGTACCTCCTTCTTCAGGTACTGGAGCTCATTCTCCTTCACACGCAGCAGCACCTGGCTCAGGGGAGAGGAGCAGGCGGTGACTCAAGGCAGGGGGAAGCAGAGAGACACAGCCTGGGTAGAGGCCGTCCTCCCTAGCGCAAGTGCGGTGGTGGAGGAGGAAGGAAGCGGGAAGTGATGCATGGTGCCCCGGGAGAGACACGCAGGGGAAGCTTGCGCACCTCCTTCCTGCACAGCCCTGCAGCCTTGTGTGGCTCCCAGTCCCCTCTACTCCGAGCCCAAACTGCTGGGGACATCCTAAGCATCCCCTACCTCCAGCTCGCAGGAGTTGCGCTCGTTGTTTTGCGGAGATCGGTCCCCAGAGCACCGCGAGGTGATGAAGCTTCGCAGCTTCCCAATCTCATCCGACAGGCGGATCTGCAGCTCCTGCAGGCAAAAAGGCAGATATGGCACAGCCACAAGGCTCTCTTTCAGTCCTGGCCCCAGTAACATATTGAGAGGAGAAGAATATGAATAAAGAGACACCCCATTTAGACAGGGGCAGTCCCAGAATGAGGATGCTCTGTGGTCCCTAAGGGCAGGGAAACCCTTCTCTTGCCTGGTTCTTCCGAAGGAGCTGCTTCCCCTCTTGCTGGCAGCGCTGCAACATCTGTTCCCGCTCCTCTGCCTTCTCTGTTAGCTGCCCAATTTCCAGGCACTTCTGGGAGTACTGCTCTGACAGCACCTGCAGCTCCCGCTTCAGTGAGTCTACATCCAACCTGTCAGAGAGGCACAAGGTTGTGGCTCCTGTGCCATCAACAGGCTCTGCCCAAAGCACTGAGCAAGGGAAGCAGGAGAGACTTCTTACTGGTGCTGCTTCTGGAGGGCGTCTGTGACAGAGCCACACTGCTGAAAGCTCCGTGTCCTGCCCAGCTCCTTGTTCATCTCCTCCCGGTGGGCCTTCTTCAGTGCTTCAATGGCTGCAGAGAGATGCAATGGGAGACACGGGATCAGGCTATGCCAGCTTGGGCACATCTGGAGAAACCCAGCCATGCAACTGAGCCAGCTCTTGGTGCCTCAGGCTCAAAGATGTGCACTCTACACTTCTTCCTCCTCCTTTACCTTTTGCCCTCTGACCAACTCCCACCTCCCAGGATTATCCCAAAGCACCGAGTGCTGCTAAGGAGATTAATAAATGGCATCCCAGCATGACCAGACTTCACAGCATAGGCGGGAGAAAAGCCAAGCTTCCTCTAAGACCAAACAGCAGGCTCAGCAGTGGGACTCAAGTTACAAGACTTTTGGTACAGGAAGGTGGCAGGTTTCTGGCAGAAGTCAGAGACATTTGGGAGAGGTGGAAGGAAGTGGGGACATGACTTGCTTTCTGCTCCCACCTGCCGCCGTTGCTGCAGCCTCCTCTGCAAGGAGCCGCTCCTTCTCCTGCCGCAGCCGCTCCATTTCTCGCTGGTGGTGCCTCTGCAGCTCCTCCATCACCTGCTGGTGTGACGACTCCATCTCAGCCAGGCTACGCTCACAGGCCTCCTGTCACGCAGGGGAAAGGACAGTAGAGGGAAGGGTGAGGGATGTGAAAGTGGCAGACACATTACAACACGGAGCTGACTTGGGACAGTCAGGTGGGATATTAGGGCAAGGTTCAGGTTGAGGTTAGGAAAAGGTTCTTCACTGAGAGGGTCATTGGGCACTGGGACAGGGCTGTGGTCATGGCACTACACTGACAGAGTTCAGGAAGCTCTCAAGGTTTGAATTTTGGGTAGTCCTACGTGGAGCCAGGAGTTAGATTCAATGGTCCTTGTGGGTCCCTTTGAACTCAGGATACTCCGTGATTCTTTGACTCTAAGACATGTGGACAGGAGGACAGGCAACTTGTTGGGATGATGCTTGACTTTGCAAACCCCTCCCTAGTTTGGGGCCATTTGGAGACAAGTGAGACCCCTTTCTGTGATGTTTTTTTCTCCTGGTACTTTGATCATGAAACACAAGCATTCAGCTCACAAATCTTGCGAGCCTTGCGTGCTCTGGAGAGGAAAAAACATTCCTCTTCTATTACAACTCAGCCATCAGGAGATGCCAAGACCTTTCTACCAGGATGTACTGCTGGAACCGCATCCACTATTTGCCTTTTAAATAAAGCAGCATCCCCAGAATCGATGGAAACTGAGCCTCTGCTTCAGAAAAGTGATACCTTCCCCTTGGCTGGGCGCTGTTACAAACACCTCCCTCCCTATAGCCTGACTGCTAGCGATCTTCTTGCACAGCTCATACTTTTTCTGGTGGCTGGCCCTTTCAATGCCTAGTGCTGTAGATAAGTTGTGTTATAGCAAAGCAAGACATTCCCATCTTGGACTCATGCCCCAAGGCCCTTGGGGAAGATTTGCCTGCCATCAGATCAGGCCAAAACATTATTCTTGAGAAGCCATTGAATTCACCAACTTGTTCTCCCTCTCTTTCAAATGGTACTAAGGCAAATTGAGAGAAAATGAGACCTTTTGGGAAAGGTGAAGTTCAGCCTCAGGAAGAAAAGATGCTGTTTCTCCCTGCTCCTTTTTGTTTTCTTTTGACCACATGGAGACCCGTGAGCTGTAAGTGCAAACTGAGATTGCAGAGTACCAGTGAACTGCTCCATGTGATTTGTGCTTTTATTTGGGCTGGGTGCAGCCAGTCCATTGCAAGAGGAGCTCACCAGGAACCCAAATTCCCTTCCCTCAACTGACAGATCCTGAATTCCTGACAGCATGTGTGCGCCACTGCCTCCTGCCAACTCCAGCCTCTTTAATACGCACTCTAGCCTTTATGTAATTAACATTGATCACAACTGAGCCTATTTGTGGCCACCATGGCAACCCAATGATTAGCGATACCTGCTTGGCAATGAGTCCAGGCTCTGGCATTTCCCAGCCTGGGGTCACCCATCCTGCTCACCTGAGAGATGTACCCCCGGGGCATGTGGCCATCTCCCTGGGACTTGGCAGCTTCCCGAAGGCTCTCGTTTCGGGCCCGGCAGGACTCCAACTGCGCCCGCAGCGACTGGACCTGTGCCAGGGACAGAAGACAGATGCTCAACCTCTTTCCCAGGGCTGGGAGGTGATGTGTTTGTTGACTTGGGAACAGTTCAAGACAGGAGACAGCAAACACACTGCCAGGAAACAGAGATCCACGCAAGCGATGCCACCAACACTGGTGGCCTTGCTCTTCCGCAGAGCCACCAGGGAGGCACAAAGCTGCATGGATCACGCCCCCCAGAAAACCATCTTCCAAAGTGCTCTCACCTCCTTTTTCAGTGCCTCATTGGCATCTCCGTGGTTCCCCTTGCCCTGGTTCAGCAGTGTTGTCAAGGGCACTCGCCGTGAGTCCTTCAAGGGCAAGCGCTCCAGCTCCAGCCACTTCTTCTCTATCTCCTCGTTCAGCCGAACTCGCTGCTCCTCTGAAAGTGGGGCAGCAGGCAAGTCTGGCTCCTCCACCTTGCTGGACAAGTTTCCCCCTGGGCCATCACTGTTGGAGACCCTGCCGTCTGGACTCTCAAACCACTTGCGCCTCTCCTCTGAACGCACTGCCAAATCCCGCTCTAGATCCTCATGCTTGGACACTCGCTCTGACACCCTCAAACTCCCTCTTGTCCTCGGTGGGGACCCCTGATTTTGGGGATCCTGCTGCAAGGGGGACAGTTCTACGTAGTCAAAGGCATGGCGTGGCCCATCCGCTTTCCAAGTGCTGCCTTTGGTGCTTCCCTCAGAACTTGGCTGCTGCTGCTCGTCCACTCGCAGTGAGCTCTTTGGTGGGATGCAGTTACGGATTGTGTTTTCCTTGTTGCAGTCAGATAGCCTGAAACCACAGCAATAACATGTGAAGGACAGGCACTGCAAAAGAACAGACAAACAGCCCCCTTGCATTGCTGGTTAAACGCAAGGCTGCAAGGCTCAGCTTTTGCTCAACTCAGCCTTGTGAAAAACCTTGTGTGAGAGAAGAGTGGTTGCATCACATCACTTGGCAGCTCTGTCTGCATGTATGGGTAAACAGGCTTTCCCCAGGAGGTGGGGAGGATTCACCCTGAGTCTCAGCCAAGCTCCAGCAGCAAAATGGAGATAAAAAAATGGGTTTGGGGGCAGGCTTCTGCGGGCAGTACGAGGAACTGCTGGTTTTCCAGAAAAAGGTAGATGCAGTACTGAGGGAAACTGTTTACTGGTAATAGGTCAGTAGTTGGACTATATGACCTTAGTGGTCTTTTCCAAATTGAACAGATGCTACGATTCTGCTCAATACAATATCTTCCTGGTAGACAGGAGCCTGCCAAGACACTGTGCCCCCAGAAAGCATCACTTCTGCATGCCCGTCACTCTCATCATCACTGCCCTGCTCCACCCCTGCCAAGGACCTTTCAGGTGTCCTCCTGAAGAAAGGAACAAGCAGGAGACCCGCCAGCAGGCAGCTCTTACTTGGTGACATCTGGAGCACTAACAGGGCGCACGTTCTTCTTCAGAGCCTCAATCCAGTTGCGCCGGATGCCTGAGGTCATGGCTGACAGTGTGAAGATGGCATCCTTCGTCTGCAGCAGAGACAGGACACGGGCTCTGTCACCACTCAGCAAAGGGGCAGCTGGCTGCACTCTAACCCTTTGAGTGCTGGACACACCACCAACTACCCTGCCATCCTGACACCATGAAGTTTACACTGCCCAAATTTCTGTGTCAGGGATGCAGATGGGGAAGGAGCAGCCATCCCACCAGGCATTCCTCATTGCTGCACTCCAGGCACTTACGTGTATCTGGAAGCCATAGTTGCGCTGCACCGCAAATTCTGTCACATCTGTGCAGGAGCGGAGATCGATTTCGCCATCAAGGTCATCAGCCTGAAAGCACAGCCACCCTCTAGGGTGTAAGCAAAGCCCATCTCTTAAAAAGACCCTGCCATCTGCCTGCACCCTAACCAAAGCATGGGAAAAAGAAGAGTGGCAGAGCACCAGGGCAGCCCAGCTGCCCCCATGTCAGCCTTTCTCTTCACTTCAAACCTTGACAGCCCCGAGGGGCTCTTCAGATGGAGAATGATGGGTCAGAACAAAGTCTCAAGGAGATGTTAGAGCTTCACTGGAATGGGACACATTCCCTTGTGTAGATATGAGGTGCCTGTGCTAGTGATAATGTTACTCTCCCTGTCACTAGGAGGACAAGGGCAGGAAAGAACAGAGGGGTGAGGAGACGCCACCCATGCTTACCTCCTCGGCGTTCGAGTCCCGGTAATATCTCAGGCTCGAGTCGGTCAGCACGAACCAGTGTTTCTTCCACTGCCAGCAGATGGGTTGGGGGGAGGGAGGGGAAAAGACAGGAGGGAAATGGATAGACAGTTACTGAGGGAAGTGCAGGAACAAGGAGGGATGTGCTGGAACAAGGAGGGATGTGCTACCCTATGACCTCTCCGTTTCTAGGCTCTCCCCCCTTTTCTAGGTCCCTTCCAAGTGCCCGTAATAATTCTCAGCTCAGAATGCACCCAATACAATGCTGGGTCTCTCAAGCATGAGTTACCTGCAGCAGGAGCAAGCACAACGAGAGGGGAAGGGAAAAACCACTGCTCACACAAGGAACTTGACCAATAGGGCTAGGGCAAGAAGTAGGCTCCAGGTAGGGCTTACCTCTCCTGGCTTGTCCAGGATGGACATCCATCCCTTCTTGAAATTGAGGAGATCTGGCTGGAGAGGAAAGGACAAAGCAGAGGTTTACTGCTGGAACCCACAAAAGGTTTCTGCATGCTGGGGGAGCGGGAAGCAGAGTTCCCATAAGGGGAATAAGAAACAAGAAGAGCCCCACACTGCTTTGAGGAAACGTGGGGGTTTAGTTTAGGACCCAGTGGTGGAGGAGGACTGCATTTAGCAATCATTCCTGTAAGAGGAAACAGGAGATAAGGAAAGAGTAAAGAAAAAAAAAAAAAAAAAAAAAAAAAAAAAAAAAGGAAAAATATACAGCAGGGAGGTTTCTACAAGGTGCCTTGGAGATATTTATTCAGAGATAGGAGAGAGAGATAGGGGTGAGGAAACTGTGTGGAAGGGAACACGGCTCTGTCACAAGCCAGACCAGGCTTTGGAGAAGGACACAGGGAAGCAGGCACATTTCATTCCAACCTGGGCATCCATGCCCCAGGGGTACCTCCCACAGCACCTTCCCCACTGCTCACATATTACAATTACAGCCTTATAGCAGCTCACTATGAACCAGCCCTCACCACAAAGGCGCAGGAGGCAATTTAACAGCTGTGAAAACACACAGCGTGTCAACACTTTGCCTGAGGCTGGAGATCAAATTGGAATTACAACCAGAGCTGGAGAACAAATCCTGTCTGAGATGCTGGGGACTTTGCTCCTTCTAGAGCCCACCCTCTGCCCAGCCCTGGGCCATGGTTATGGAGAACAAGCAGGGTTTCCTCCAGCTCACTCCCTTCTAAAAAGCTCCCCCCCCCATTCACCTCCTCCTAACCTCACGCCACTTGTCCGGCATCCCAACCAGTTCAGCTCCTTCCAGAAGTGCCGTGCTGGAAAGCTGACTCAGGGCAAATGCTCTCCCCAACTTCGCCCTCAGCCAAGCAGGCTGGAGCTGCTCCTCCTCCCAGCTCTGCTGCTCCAGCTCCTCCCGAGCTGGCAAATAACTCAGCCCACCACTCAGCTTTGTAAAGTAGGCACGAAGAGCAGAGGTGATGAATGGTTGGGGACCACGTGCATCCCCTCGTCCACTCCCCTAGACCCGGACATCCCCACCGCCCTGCAAAAGTTCTTTGAAAATTAATTTCTTCCCTGTGGCGACAGCTCCACCCTTTGTGCCGTTATCCTTTCCAATCCAGTGACTTCAGCACTGACTCCAGGCTGGGAGCGGCAGGAGGGAAGGAAAGGAGGTGAAATGTTTGGCGTGACCTTCTCTCCCAGCACACATGTGCGTGGGGCAGGAGGGCCAGACACACTGCCCTATTACTGCCATGGGCACAGCACCGGGGCCAGTAAAGTCCCAAAGCACACAAATGGTGCAAGACACAACCAGCCTCTTTTTCCCTGTCTTCATCCTCGTAGACACAGCTCTGCCACTGTCCACAGTATTTCTGGTGGACAAGACACCAGTCCACAAAGTGCTTAAAGCTGCTTTTTTCTCTTCCCTGTCTACCACTAATTTCAGCTTTGTACTCTGGAGACAAGCACTTGGGATAAGGGCAGAGAACAGAGCGAAGTTTGAGCTGAATTCCCCGTCAGAGGAAAAGGCCAGGGCAGGAGGAGGAAGCGGGCAGGAAAGCAGAGCTATCCGGATATCTGGGGCTGGCTCCAAACAACGAAGATGTGAGGATGCAAGAGGAGGCACCGGGGGGATCCAGCACTGAGCAGGGGTGATGGCTGGTGCAGGGAGCTGGCTGCCTGTTTGGGCTGCCACGAGGACACAAGGGCTGCGATAACAGCCTGCAAGTATCTTAAGAATGTAAACACCAAAGAAGGAAAGGAGATAGGGTGGGAGTGGAAGAATGACTCCTGGGTGGTACAGAGAGGGCAGGGGGAAGAAACGGAGGATAGGAGGCAACAGAGCTAGAGCTCCAGGCCGCGGTTCCTACGGCTTCTCGGGCTACAGAGCAACACTTCGCTCTACGGGACAGCGGCGGTGGAAGGGACCTCTGGAGGTCACCTGCTGCAGGGTGACCTCACCCCGGGCCGCCTTCCCTCCATCACAAAGGGGTTCCCGGCGGCCCCAGAAGCCCACTTCTTCCCCCAAAGAGACCTGGCTCGGCTAGGAAAGGCCCCCAAAGCCAAAGCACAACGCCGAACCCCTCACCGCCCCTCCACACGGGGAAGGCCGAGGGCCGGCCCGTCACCTCCACCGCACCCCACCCCCGACCGGGAGCACAGGCAGCCCGGGTCCCGCACCGTCTCAGTGCCGCCCACACCCCAGCGGGAGATCCCCCCGGAGCGGGAACAGCCCAGGGGGAGGAAGCAGAGCGCCGCGGGGCCCCGTTCCAGACTCACCGTCATGGCGGGGGCGCGGCGGGGCCGGCTGCGGGCAGCCAGGGCGGCGGGGCGGCTTCAGCGGCCGGGCGGCTCCCGCAGCCCCACCATGCCCGCTCGCTCCGCCGCCCGCCCCGAGCTTTTCCGAGGGCTTTTTTTTTTTTTTTTCCCCTTCAAACTTTTTCTCTTTTTTTCTTTTCTTTCCTCCCCTTCCCACCCCAAACTTCCTGGGAGGGCCCGGCCCGGCCCAATGGCAGCGGGTGGCCTCCGGCCCGGCCGCCCCCTTCCCGCAGCCAATGGAGCCGACGGGGCGGGCGGGGAGCCCCGGGCCCTACCTTAGTGCGTTTCTCGTTGGTGCTCCCGTGTGGAAGCCGGCTTCCCGAGGAGCTCTGCGGTGCTCTGGAGCTCCCATCCAGCTGCGACTGCGGGGAGAGAAAGCGAGAGCTCAGCCTGAGCCTCTGTGTCCATCTCCTCCTGTGTCTCCCAGTGCTGGAGCAGAAACGCTGCTTCTCAGACCTCAGGAAAAGGGGTGTGCTGGTTCCACACCTGGCAGACAGGTCCCTGCCATTTCCATTTTCACCCCTCCCAACATACTCCCTTCACTACTAGAAAGACATGGAGGCCCTGGAGTGTGTCCAGAGAAGAGCACCGGAGCTGTGAGGGCTCTGGAGCACAAGTCTGATGGGGAGCAGCTGAGGGAACTGGGGTTGTTCAGTCTGGAGAAGAGAAGCTCAGGGGAAACCTTACTGTTCTCTATAATGACCTGAAGGGAGGTTGTGGTGAGCTGGAGGTTGGCCTGTTCCCCCAGCTAACAGCAATGGGGTGAAAGCGAACGGCCTCAAGCTGCCCCAGGGGAGGTTCAGGTTGGATATGAGGTGGTGCAGTCAGCACCCCTGGAGGTGTTCCAGAGCTCCAGGTGTTCCTACTGAGGGACGTGGTTAGCGAGCAGTAGCTGCAGTGATTCTATACTCACGTGATATACAAGGAATTTCTTGTTCTCCCAATCGCTTTCTAATGGTTTCTCTGGGTTGTTTGAGTCATGGCTGTGCTCAACCCCCTTCCAGTCATCCTCCAGTTTCTGTGCTGGGCTCTCAGGCCTCCTCCAGCTGTCATCTGGCCGTGGCCAGGCATCCGCATACCTAGCGGGGCTCCTCCAGTCCCTTTCCACCTGCTGCATCAAGTCCATGTGGCACGGTGACTTCTCATGCGCCCTCCAGTCTTTCTCTGCCTTCTGAACCTGGCAGGCATCCCCATGGCCTTTCCAATCCTGCTCTGGTGGCCGCGTTGGGCTCATGGGACGCAAGGGCTTCCCATGGCCTTTCCAATCCTGCTCTGGTGGCCGCGTTGGGCTCATGGGACGCAAGGGCTTCCC